TTTGGGATACATTTGCCTACTTGTTACCCCTTTGAACCCTTTTTTCCTTTTTTTTTCAAGCCGCATAATTAGATATCTTGAGCCTTTTGTTTCGTTCTCCTTCTTTTTGGTTTTTGTGAAGCAAGGGTAAATGTTTGGTGATTGTGGTCTATGAAGTTGGGGTTTGGTTCGAATTGGTACACATAATTGAGTTGTTTATATTTGGTAAATAATGGCAAATGCTTATGTAAAACCCGTCCTTAGTAAAAAAAGGGCAAGGACTAATGCTTTTAAGGATTTCAAGGAAATTGAAACAATTTTATTAATGAGAAAATTCAAAAAAAAAAAAAAAAAAAAAAAAAAAAAAAAAAAAAAACTGAAGTGTCTTTCTCCTCTCTATGCATTGAGGACAATGTTTCTTTTAGCTTGGGGGGAAAGCGCTTGCGCTTTTTGTTCTAATGATTGTAGATTGTTGCTTTGAATAAGCTTGGGGGTGTTAATACGTTTTTGTTTGGTGATTACTTAACTTTGGTGTTGAGATTTGGCCAGTCTTTGCTTCACAATTTAGGATAATCACCAAATTTTAAATTTTAAGCCTACCTTAACCCTTCTTGCCTTACGTTACAACCTTGGGGAAGACCTTTGGACCTAGGAGTTGAGTCTTTCATCGGTGGAGGGAATCATAGGTTGTAGACTAAGGAAAGGGGATGCGAAATCAAGATGTCGAGTAGCCCAAAAATTTGATCCTTTTCCGGTTCCTTCGCGGAATCTATGAGATGCTCACTAAGGGAGACATTAGATTAGTAGGGGGAACGCGGTAAGACCGTTTGGGATGAAAGTGGAATGTGATAACTAGTTCCTATTCTTAGCATATTTATGTTTCAATCAACCTTAGGTATCTTATAACGTGCATACCATAATTCTCTTTAGAAAGGTTGTTATTCATTTGAATTATAGTCTCTTTATAAAGTCCATTTCGTAAAGATTTTGTTCCTTTTTCCTCTTTCTTTTCCTTCTCTGGTTTGCCTCTTGGGGGTTTGGTGGAGAGTTATGGGTAAACTCTTAGGATACCCTTACGAGAGCATCACTCGTCCTCTAGAACGATCTAGGGGTTTAAATGGCTTGTTGTAGCTAAAAACAACCGTGATTCCTACGACAGTGAGTCTTAGTGTAAATTCTCGCCCCTCTTTTTCTTTTTTCTTCGAATAAGCCCTTCTTATTCCTTTGAGCCTTTGTTTTGCTCGGGACGAGCAAAAGTCTAGCTTGGGGGAATTTGATGAGTGTCATTTGTGGCACTCATAGGGTAGTCTTTTAGGGTTATTTCTTTCCCCTTTTCATACTTTCTTCTCTTATTTTTGGTCCTTTTACCTTTAGTTTCTCTTTTCCCTCTTTTCTTTATGATTCTCGTGTTTTTATCGTGTTTTCCTTTATTTGTCTCTTTTTCTCTTTTATTTCCTTTCATTGTGTACTTGTGTAGGTATTGTGAGAATCACTTTGGCAAAGGATTCAATTTGGGACTTTAATGATCAAGCAAGGAAGAAGCATTTGGCTAGAGAGGGCTTAGAGAGGGCTTGGAGAGGCCTCGGAGAGGTTTCCAAGGCAATCCAGCAGGCCGCGGGCGCGGGTCATCTTGCCGCGGGCGTGGGCCCATGTTACTCAAAATTGCCAAAACTTGGCAGGAACTTGTCGCGGTTGCCCCGCGGGCTCTCCGCGGGCGCGGGTAAAATGGAGAGGTCGCTCCATTCAGAGAGACCGCGGCCCCCTGATCAGGCTTTGGGAGCAGGGGATTAGCCGCGGGTGCGGGTTTCAATGCCGCGGGCGAGGATTTCTGTTGCCGCGGGCGCGGGGTCTGCCCAGATAGCCCGCGGAGAGTTCCGTACCCATTTTTCCGCGGGCACGGGTCTATCGAGAGAGGGCGCGGGAGCTGCTAATTTCTTCTTTGCTTATAAATAGAATTGTATTTCCTTTTTGAAAGAGACTTTTGATAATTTTTCATTAGCTTAGTTTTAGAGAGAGAATCTAGAGAGAAGTTAGAGAGAAGTTCTTGGTTTTGGATTTGTAACTCAACATTTGACCAATCAAGTTTGCATTTCTTCATTTTCAATCATCAATATTAGTGAGAATCTCTTCCTTCTTTCATCTTTTACTTACTTGCTATTTGATTTTTGCTTGTTACTTGTTCTTCTTTGGATTTGAATTTGATATTGTTGATTATTTTTTATTTCTCTTAGATTTTGATATAGAAATGAAGATTAAAGCACTTTCTAGTTATTTGTTCTTGAATTTCACCATGATTAGTGAGTAGATTAGTTGTTAGGGAAAGGGGGAAGCATGTTTGATTAATGAAATTGCTAGTTGATGTTCTTTGATTGATTGATTTCTTGCAATTAAATTGGTTGACATAGTTTTGCATGTGATTGATTAGACTAGGAGTGATCAACCTATAAGATTAATCTAGATTGCATTGCAACTCTTAATGACATGAACAATCGAATTGAAAGTTGCTCTAAGTGATTGGGTTTGCTTGTGATTCTTCTTGATTTGTCTTTCATAGTGACACCTAGATTTGCCTATAGGAGATAGCATTTGAACTCTCTTTATTGCTACTATTGTTTGTCCATTGAAATACTTTAATTAATTGATTGAGCTCTAAACTAGCATTATCATTGAATTTTCATGTGGAACCCATATCCCTAGTGTTTAGACCTTTGTTTTACTTGATTAGACTTGCTTTATTTTACCATAGTACCAACCATAATATCAACTCCATCTTCGAGGTAGCTTGACTTAGACTCTAGTTTTCATCATTGCATTCCCTAGGGATCGACCCTTAACTTGCCCTATATTCATATAAGGTTGGTTAGGTGTTTACAAATTTTGTTTGACTTGGGGAAAGGGTAGATAATGACATACATGTCTACTTTAGTTAGAGGAATTAGGTATTTACTTTTGATTAAGGGATACGACTTTACCCTGTCAGAGTCTTAAACTCAATCCCTTGTGTTCTCAGACCTAGACGATCTTTAGGAGGCGCTTTCTTACTTCCAAGGCGCCCCTTCACATCAAAGTTGCGTGATCCGACTCAATCCCTTTTACTTCTAAGATTCAACCATGCCTTGTATGCAGTAGATAAGGGAGGAGGAGCTTGGTTACTTGTACAAACGGTCCACAAAGGTCTTCCAACCCAATTAGCCTCGTACTTGTGAACGTTACTGTCATGCAATGATACTTCACGAGGACTATCGTTATAGCGTGGAACTTCTTGTTCAAGTCCATACTATCGCATCAATCGAGAAGGACAATAAAAATTCATCCTTAAGATACTAGGAACACGGCTATACGGAGTATCATTCGTACCAACCATCCTAGTAAGCTTCCACCAAGGCACCACCAAACGAATGGAAAATTCTCTCTTTGCAAAGAAATTCTTCCAATCTTCATATGACATGTTCACAGAGTAATTTTTCTTCATGCGGACTAGATCTTTGGGACCATATTTTTCAATATCTTTGGGGGCTTCAAAAAGTTCTAAACGCTCCATCAACCAAATCTGCAAAACACAAAATAAAATCAGTCGAAAAAAATGCAGATTTCACCGTGACACGGCAGAATGCACCGTGTCACGGCAGAAATGCACTGTGACACGTTGCCTGTTTTGTGTCACGGGGGATACTCAGAGCGCGTTTTTACCTGCAGCAGTACCAGAGAGCCCTTCCTGACGGCTTTCCGGTCAGCTTTTGCTTCATCAAGGCCGCGTAAAGTTTCTCCAAGGCACGTGGGCATAGGAGTTCTCCCAGATTCGACATGTTCAAGCACAGATGCTAGACAAGCATGTCCTAACCAACCGTTTGTAAATAAAAGCTTTCTAAACATGCAAAAAATGTAAGCCCTTCTACAGTATACATGATAAGACTCAGAGACAGGGCGATTGAAATATAAATTTGCAAGTTTTTCTAAGTCTACCTCATTACCACACACAATTCTATTTAAATCTGGATATGTCAGATTCATATGGCGTTCAAAGTCATGGTAATAATACTCACGAAGAGTAGGCATGGCAATAAGATTTCTGGCAAGAAATCCAAAGATGGCATCGAATTCCTCTGGCAGGGAACATATTTCATCATAATCAAATTTAAAACAATGGGTTTCTGGACTCCAATAGTCTAATGTTGCCCTAAGAAAATCATGTTCAATCGCTACATGTCTCAGGGCTAACAAACCCCTGACATGAAACAATTCCAACTCTCTTTGTCAGCATTGGTCAAAGAATAAGACCAGTCTTGCAATGTATTATCAAAATTCTGAGACATTATTATTGAAATATGAAATTCTAATTATTTTATGTTTCGTAATTATGCATATCACGAATATACTAGTCCTATTTTATAGCAAAAACGCTTAGAAATACTCAGAATCTATCTTTCTGTACGCGTATACCACACCGTTGCAGAATACGTGCACTGTGACACGGGATTTTCCACCGTGTTACGGGAATTTATGCCGCGATACGGCAGATTTTGCCGTGACACGGTGTACATTGTCGTGTCGCGGTGTCCACGCGTTTTCTTTTTTTTTATCCTTTTCCTATATCTATCCGGATTTTTATTGTTTTATATTCACCGATTATTTTTTTTAATTCTGTTTTTCGAGAGTTTCATTCCTAATAAAATTCTCAACTTTTTTTATTAATATTTTATTTTAATTTTTTTATTACTTATTATTCTTTCCATTCATCTTTATTATTTATTATTTTATTTTATTATTTACTCTTATTTCTATTATTATTATTTTATTTATTTTTCTTTCATTCTTTTGGGAAGTTGTAAACCTTGTCCATACTTATTTATTTTGGAGGAGTTGTAAAACTTATTATTTTTCTTTTCTTTTTATTTCTTTTTTTTCTTTTGGGGAAGGTCGGTACCCTCTACTTACTTTTTTTTTCACGTCATACACAATCACACACAATGAGTCTCAAGCACACACTAATACACACTAATAAATACATAAACCGTGAATAATGTACAAAATGAGTCATGATAAATAAACAGCGTCAAGTGTCATCACAGTATGTACAAATAAAGACCCTCGATTAAAAATCTGTAGAACTAGAAGAGTGAGGATCAGTGTCATCTTCAGCCTGTGAATACGGGAGCGGTGAACCAAAGAGTCCCGCCATCATCCGGGTACGTTGAGTAGTATCCCTACTAGTCCCTGTAACTCCAGTAGCAGTCAAACTCAAAGCAGGACCCGTCAACTGGCAAAAGAGGTAGGAAGCGTCGGTGGAGGCATCGTCCAATACACTGGAACTGAAAATAAGCCTTGCATCGGTGGAGGAAGCCCCCAGACGATGGAGCTGAATATAAGCCATGATCCACAGGAGTGATAAATGGCCTAAACTCAGGCTGTGAAGACTGTGAAAACGACTGCCGCTGCCACTGACCCTGACCCTGACCCTGAAAGTGCTGGAACAGCTGGGAAGACTGAGGCTGCTGCCACTGAGCCTCCTGAAGCGGCTGAGGAAGTTGAGGCTCCCGCTGAGACTGAGAATGCCGATGAACCTCAGGAGATCGTCTGCTACAACTAGGCTCCTCCTCGTCCGAGCCTCTATGCCTTGAGCGCGAGTGGGACCTCCGTCGCTCCTAAAAGACATAAAATCAAAAGATGTCAATGGCGGAAGACAAAACAAATGGTAAAAATGAAAAAAAAAAAGTGAACATACCTCAAGAACATCGTCAGAACTGCTCCGACAACTCGCACCACGCCAAAGCTTGATGATGCAGTACTTCAAAGCGTCAACCAGTTTCATGAATCCCATCATCTCCGGGCGGGTAGGCTGACAACAAAGTAAAGAAAAAATCGGTAATAAGCGGTATTAAAAGGGATGGATAATGTATCAAAAGCTTACCGGCTCAAAAACATCATGAATAGACTCTTTCGCCTGCCTGAAACCCTCTGGCGCGTCAGCAATATGCTCCTGAGTAATACCGATCGGCCCTGGTAGCGGATGGATTGAGGCGGGATCTCAATCCTCCCCACACGGCGAACAGTCGTCTGAAAATACGATCGAATAATCAAGTTATTCGACTGTTTAAACAGAGACTAGAAACAAACTCCTCAAAAGAAATTATACCTCAGGAAAACGGGGTGGAGAGCCAAAGAGGGAAGCAAGTCCTGCGCATAATTTCCCTCCATACGCACAAGCTCCTGCCAAGGAAAAGTGTAGCGCTCTCCCTGTTTATCAACTCCCTAAGCAAGCGTGAGTCCAGCATCGACTCCGGTGGAGACAAGGGCACCACAAAGAGATCACCACTATGCTGAAGAACGACACACTCCCCCAGATACCAGACCAAGCGTCCAGTACCAACAAAAACAGTGTGGTACGCTGAAAGCTGCAAGGCCTCGGAAAGATTAGTCATCCCAGCCCAAGCCCGATACTAGACATCAATAGCAACCTGAAAACCATAAAAAGTTGCAATGAAGCGCCGGAAATAACGTCAAGATAGAAAATAACAGGCTATAAAAGTAATTCTTACACCAACGAAAGAGGTGCCTCGGCGTAGCAGCCCGCGTAGCGCAGAGACAGACTCCACCCGTGACTCGCCTCGGTCACGTCATCTGGCTCCGACAGGGAAGTCATGAACCGCTCCACGACGCCGTCGAGGGGCCAATCCCGGAAAGTACTCATAGAACCATAGCTCAATGGAAAGTAATCTTTGAGCACGTGAGTCGAACAAATTAAAACAAAACAAGAAGAGGAAAGGATCGTCACCTCTACGACTCTCCATAAACCGTAGACAGTGACAGGGGACTCGTCGTTCAGCTGCCTATAGCCATGACGTAACGACAAGAGGAGATCGGTATATCCAAGGTTGGCCTAGCTAAAGGATCCTATCTCACTGATCCTAAGCAAAGAAGGAAGGTAGCAAACAAGTGCACGCGAACTCCTATCAGGAGAAAGAGTCATGGAAATGAGAATCAAAATGAATGTCCGCACTCGCTGCTCAGGTGATGTCTCCTCCATGTCAAAACCACGGGCCAGAACAGAAGCCAACTCTGATCGCCCGCTCCTAGGATCACCTCGAGACACCGGCTGAATCCTGATATGCTGAACGATCAGACCTTACAAATCGGCTGCCTCAGCCGCCCCCCAAGAAAGATCATACATCTGCGCTACGGCCCGGTCAGTGAAGCGTAGACCACTGATCATGCTAAAATCCAGAGGGGTCACTGTCATCTCCCCCCAAGCAAAGTGAAAAGTGTTGGTAGTATCCCAAAAATACTACAACAACGTGCGAACGACTGTCGTGCCAGAACCCCGGGGGCTGCAAAACCCTACGATCGCCGAATAAAAGTCTACTAGACCAGCTTATTCCCATAAGACGTTCGTAGTAGGATCCCTCGTGATTATCCCATGAAGTCGAGGAATCAAATCTCCGGCTCCAGAACCGTGACGGCGAAGTGTACCATCGACTATGCCGGCAAGTGGACGATGAGAAACGTGGTTCTCACGACAGAAAACCAACTGGTCTGGTATCCACGAAGGTGGAGCCCACCTACCCCTACCCGTAGAGGGTCGAGCTCCGACTCTAAGATGTCGTTATCCATACCCTAGGGAATCGTGGGAGTGTCCTCCCGAAAAGCCTGACGCTGGCCATGAGTGGAAAGATCGCGATCCAGTTATCTAGGCATGATATTATAAAAATAAAAATCTAAATGCTTAGCATCATTTCCTAAGATATTTAGTTATTTATTTCAAGTTGCATTTTAATAAAAATCTAAATGCTTAGCATCATTTCCTAAGTTATATAGTTATTTATTTCAAGTTGCATTTTCTATTATACGCTAAATTTTTACCTCAAGCCTAAAAATTAGCAAAATAATGGAATTATTTATACTATTTAGTTTCTCCATGACGAACTAATATTATGTTCTCCTAATTGCATGATACTATGTTCTCCATGATAATGTAGTTTATACACAACACAAAACATGTTTCAAAATTGCACAAAAACAATAGATCGACGCATCATGGCATATTTTACAAGATCATACAACCAATTGAATTTCAACATAAACCTCAAAATCAAAAAAATCCACAAATTGATTTTTAAGGGTTTTTACATGAAATTACTCATTTGAAGCAAATTCGAGAACAAAATCAAAGGAAACTTACATGGATCCTTGTGGAGAATCGAAAATGAAGAAAGTAGCAAAAATTTAGAGCAAAATTGATGAGAATTTGAGCTCCAAAGCTCGAAAAACCGTGAAGACAGCAGTGTAGGCCGCCGCGACACGGTCAGCCTAAGCCATGACACGGTTTTCAGGTTCCGTGTCACGGTGATTCTGGGAGACGACGGAGCTCCGGCCAGCAGTGGCGTGCACTGGAACAGCAGCAGCAGCGAGCAGTAGCGAGAAAAATAAAAATAAAATAAAATAAAAAATAAAAAAGAACAAAACAGCAGCACCGCTTTGTCACGGTTACAGGAATCATGACACGGTGAAGACGGTCGAGCGCCGGTGCAGCCTCGCCGTGGCTCGGTAATCTAAGCGACTTAAAATGAAAAAAATGGAGATATGAATGAGAAGAAAAAGCATGAAAATGGTGAAAAGCATCTCGAATTTAAAGACAAAAAAATGACTGTTACACGACCCCGTTACCGTTCCACGTTGTATGTTACTGAGTAACGGTATTTAGACGCGTGATATTGTGTGGTGCACGTGGCGCGTGAGTTTTTGTGCCAAAAGAAAATCCTGCGACACGGGAATTTCTCCCGTCTGACGGGAATTGTGCACCGTGTCGCGGGACATGTCCATGTGGCACGGAGCTCTGGCTTCTGTCCTACACACTCTTCGAAGCTGACAACGAATATTCCTGGCATTTTGACCAAAATTGCACGATTTTCTGCGCAAATTGGACAGTTAGTTTTTCAGCAAAATTACGCGAAAATTTCTAACTGACATTTAAAGGGTATCAAAATTACTATTTTGCCCCTAGAAAGCGTCAAAGTCAATTTGCCGATGTTTTAAACACCTAATATGGTCAGATAGTCGACTTGAAGGTGTGAATCATCTGCGCCCACGTTCGGGGATAATCGAACCATCATACACTTTGTCGACTTTCCTCAAGCATGGAAAGCGCTATCGGTGGATTTTTCTTCAAGTATAGAATACCGCCAAGTCGGATTTCCTCAAGCATGGAAAGCGTTATCGGTGGATTTTTCTTCAAGTATAGAAAACCGCCAAGTCGGCTTTCCTCAAGCATGGAAAACGCTATCGGTGGATTTTTCTTCAAGTATAGAAAACCGCCAAGTCAGCTTTCCTCAAGCATGGAAAGCATTACCGGTGGAATTATTCAAGCATAGAATGACACCAAATTCATACGTCACTTTCCTCGGGCATGGAAAGTATCATCCGGTAGGTTTCTTCAAGCTTAGAAAGCTACCAAATTCCTCAGTTGGCTTTCCTCAAGCATGGAAAGCGTTTCAACGAACATTATCCGGTGGATTCCTTCAAGCATAGGAAGATTCCAAACTCATTTGTCACCGATACACTGGTGCAAGATACGTATTCTATCCTTTTACTCTTTTATCTATGGAATTGACATTTTTCTGCAGGTATCAGCGCATACAGGTAGAAAAATAATATTTTTAATTACAAAAATAAAAAACACATATTTTGTATAGTAATACTAAATATTTACATTGAATTTTTGCAGATGTGGCTAATGGAGGGACTAGAATTAATTAGTCCTCTTGACAACATTGACAAATATACACCAAACTGCTTTATAAGGCGTAAGAAGCGTTTTTCCATAAATATGGGTCGTCAGGAGTAAAGCAAGATATCCGCCTCTTGTGATTTTGCTATCAAATGGATCATCCCATGGTGGAAAATTGAGAAGATGGTTGGCGTCAACAAGCAACCCTTCTGCCGTCTTCAAAGCTTATCCAAGATGACTTTCTATTACCCCTGCAAGGTTAAAAGGTAGTACGGCCTTGCTCAAACCATCCTTCTGGAGATGTTCGTCGTCCTTATGAATTCCTTGTTTCACAAGAAGTAGAGAGATTTGATTCTTATTGGAGTTCTATGCCCTTATGGGAAGTTGTTAACCAAAGGGTTCCTCCTTCGTTGTCCAAGGATGTGAAGCATTGGTGTAGACACCTAAAAATGTCTCCCCAAAACCGAACCCGATGATGAACAACCTTTCACCGCCACTATTGGTCGGGTTCAGTATTTAATCCCGAGAGTGCTTAAAAAATCGTATTTAATTAAATTCAATTTTTGAATAGTTCATGGATCAGTCTTGATGTTTAGTGTCAAAGCATAGTTTTTAATTTTAGCCCAAACCTTTTTTATTTTTTTATTTTGGCCCAAACTTTTTATTTATTTTTATTTACTTATTTTCTTATTTTAGCCCAAATAATAATAAATCTAAAATGGCCCAAAATTATCAATCGACACTTAAAATGCTGAACGAAATTAGGGTTAAAAATGAATTTGGACGGAAAAGCGGACTGAAAACTCCCGCGTCACGGCAACAGTCTACCGTGTCACGGGAAATTGTCCTGTCTAACGGTGGGGTTCCCCGTGACACGGGGCACCTGCTGTGACACGGGGGTTTTCGTGTCCTTTCCACGTAAACCCTTAACACATTTTCTCCTCCGTTCAGTGAATATTTCCCGCGTCACACAATAGTACACCGTGTCACGGGAATGTTTCCCGTCTGACGGTGGGAATTCCCGTGTCACGGCAAAC